AAAAGCAAGAGAACAATTCCCTAAAAGGGAAATAAAATTAACCAGGAATTTTTTTAAAAAACCCCAGGCCAAACTCACCCAACCCAAGCCGTAAACCCGGGCCCTTCCACCTGCCCCCTTAGCAGAAATTTAAATTTTATGGGTTTCTTTTTTAAAATAAAATGACTTATTAAAAAAAGATCATAACACTCCCAAAACCCGTTGAACCTGGGGAATTTCAGGAATCGAACCCCGGGTTTAGACGCTTTAAACCAGTTGAATTTCTTAAATTAGCAAAATTTTTGGGCTTCATCTAACCCTTAAAACCCTTTGAATTTAATCCCGCCCAACCGGGTTTTAAGAAAAAACCCCCCTTTAAACTCCTCCCCCATTTTTAGATGGTTTAACTTATTCTTTAAAAGGGTTTTGTATTTTAAAGCTTTAAAATTTGCTGTAATTAAACCTCCTTAAAAAAACCGCTCTTGCCCAGATACATGGCAATTAAACCTATATCCAATTTTCCCTTTCTTACCCAAAAATTTCTTAGAAAGTAGTTGCCAAAAAAAGTTTTCGATCCCCTTCCCCCATAATGAATTTTTTTAAAGAGTTTCAGTCTGGCTTTAGAGCTCATCAAAGCAAATAAACAAACTCTGGGGGGGAAAATCACTAATATATTTTTCATGGGCCCCAATAATGGACTTGTATTTTGTGCTCGTCCTGTTGGAATTTTTAGTGCCGGGATTTGGGTACCCGTTTTACCCTTTAAAATTCCTTTTTGAAAAAAAAATTGAATATTTTTTTTTTTTTTTTTTTTTTTTTGGAAATTTAAAAAAAACAGCACTAGGGCTGGGTTTTAAAACTTATCTATCTGATCAATTCATTTTGTTTAAGTTAAAAAAAAAGATTTCTTTAACACCTCAAAGGTTACCTGGGAGTACCACGGGATCATGCAAAGGAAACCCAAATTTTCCCCCTTTTCTTTATACATTCTCCCAATTGGAAAAATTAAATTTAAAAGCAGGGAAATTAAAAAACCACTGTATGCGAAAGATTTCCCCTCCATATCTGCTAAAAAATTTCCCCAAAAAAACAACCCCCTTTTCAAAAGATTACAGGCAAATTTTTTTTAAGACATAAAAACTGGATGACCCTTTAAATTTTTTGCTTCTGAATGCAACAAAAAAGAAATTATAGTCCCCCGGACCAAGTCTCCGGGGAAAAAAAAACGAATTTTCCCCGTTTACTTAAATTTTGGGTGGGGTAAACTTTTCAGATAATAAAGAAAAAATCTTGGTGTTAAATTTTTGATCAGACCTGTCATTTAAATCCCATATTTAAAAAGGGTTTCCCAGAAAATTTTCCCTTTTTTCATCTGAGGAACATTGCAAAAATTAGAAATATCCTGTCCAGGGGTGATGCTGAGAAACTAGTCCATGCATTTGTTACTTCAAGGCTGGACTATTGTAATTCTTTACTATCAGGAAGTCCACAAACTGTAGTTAAAAGCCTTCAGCTGATCCAAAATGCTGCAGCCAGAGTTCTAATGAAAATGAAAAAGAGAGATCATATCTCTCCTATCCTTGCTTCTCTTCATTGGCTTCCTGTTAAATCAAGAATAGAATTTAAAATCCTCCTTCTCACATATAAAGCCTTAAATGGCCAAGCTCCATCTTATATCAGAGATCTGATTGTTCCTTATGTTCCTAACAGAGCACTTCGCTCTCAATCTGCAGGTTTACTAGTGGTTCCTAGAATTTCTAAAAGTAGAATGGGAGGCAGATCTTTTAGTTATCAGGCTCCTCTCCTGTGGAACCAACTACCAGTTTTAGTCCGTGAGGCAGACACCCTGTCTACTTTTAAGGCTAGGCTTAAAACTTTCATTTTTGATAAAGCTTATAGTTAGGGTGGCTCAGGTTATCCTGAGCTATCTCTATAGTTATGCTGCTATAGGCTTAGACTTTTGGAGGACATAGGGACCCCCATTTCATCATTCTGCTTCATTCTCTCTCTGTTCTCCTATTCTGCAGAATCTGTTAGTTCAATCTCTAACCTTCTGCTCTCTCTGCTTTTCCTCAGAGTAGCTTTGCCTCGTCTGTTCCTGTTTGGCTGTGACGTCATCCTGGAAAAAAACATCAGCTGTGCTGCTTCTATCAACACCCTTGTTAATAGATGTTGGAGATCGGCCGGTTTTCCAGTGTGGTCCTGTTTCTCTGACCGTGACTGAGTGGATGTGCTCTCTTCGTCCTCTGGCATGGGAGCTGCCTTGGAGCTCGTCTGCCTGGCTGTGTGTTTCCTGGACGGGGCCGCCTTTTACAGCTGCTTTTTGTATCTCTGCTTCTGTCTCCTTGAACCCCAGTCGGCCTCGGCAGATGGCCGCTCACACTGAGCCTGGTTCTGCTGGAGGTTTCTTCCTGTTAAAAGGGAGTTTTTCCTCTCCACTGTCGCTACAAGCATGCTTAGTGTGGGGGATTGTATTTGAGTCAATGAGTCAATGCAATCAACTGGTTTTCCTTAGATAGAAAACTTTGTATCAATTTGACTGTATGATCTGGTTGAACTGTAAAGTGCCTTGAGATGACATGTGTTGTGAATTTGGCGCTATATAAATAAACTGAATTGAAATTGAATTGTTTACGGTTCTCTGGAACCGGCCACTCCAAAACTGCTTTTATTTTCTCTTCTGAAGGCTTAACCTGCCCGCCCTCGAGCACAAACCCCCAAAAAATTACTGAAGACTGATGAAACTCACATTTCTCGGCTTTGACGAACAGTTTGTTTTCCAGCAGTCTCTGAAGAACCAGGCGGACATGTCTCTTATGCTCTGAAAGATCCTTGGAATAGATTAGAATGTCATCTACGTAGACAAACACAAACACATTTAGGAAGTCTCTGAGAACATCATTCACTAAGGCCTGAAAGCATGCAGGGGCATTAGTTAGTCCAAAGGGCATCATCAAGTATTCAAACTGGCCCAAGGGAGTCTTAAATGCTGTTTTCCACTCATCCCCCTCTCGTATTCTGAGGAGGTGATAGGCATTCCTCAGATCTAGCTTGGTGAAAACAGTTGCCTCTTGGACAGGTTCAAAAGCAGAAGCGAGCAATGGGAGAGGGTACTTATTTTTGATTGTTATCGGGTTCAAGCCTCTATAATCGATACAGGGTCTTAGTGTACCATCCTTCTTTCCAACGAAAAAGAAACCCGCGCCCAAAGGAGACGAAGAGGTGCGAATTATTCCAGCAGCTAAGGACTCATTTATGTATTTCTCCATGGTTTCTCTTTCTGGTTTGGAGATGTTGTAAAGTCTACTGCTGGGCAGCGGGGCTCCGGGTAATAGCTCGATAGCAAAGTCGCATGGTCTGTGTGGTGGAAGGGACGTAGCACTGACCTTACTAAAAACAGGAGCCAGATCATGGTAGTCGGGAGGTACTGAAGAAAGGTCAGGGACGTCCATCTCCCCCCCACCTCTAGGGGACCCCACAGCGGGAGCTGCCGAACGGAGGCATGTTTCATGACATCGAGTGGACCAGGACTCCACATGACGATCAGTCCAGTTAATATGGGGATTATGTTTCTTCAGCCATTCGAAACCCAGCACCAGAGGGGAACATGCGGAGGGAAAAACAAAGAAAGTTATGGTTTCTCGATGATTACCTGAGATCAGAAGCTCAAGGGGTTGGGTTTGATGGGTTACTTGGTGAAGTCTCTTCCCATCGATTGCTGAGACACTAAGAGGCTGGGTTAAAGGAACTGTTTCAATTTGCAGCTGTTGGACAAGATTGGAATCAATTAAATTTCGCTCACAACCAGAATCAATGAAAGCAGAGAATGAGAGGCTCTGGTCCGAGAAAAATAAAGTGGCTGGAAGCATAAGGCGAGGAGATTTCTCAGAGTTATCATGGCCCGCCAAACTCCTCAGAACCTCTGACGGGCCCCGGCTTTTGATTTCGCTGGGCATGAAGCGATGAAATGACCACTATCACCGCAATAGATGCAAAGTTTGCCCAAAAATCGTCTTTGCCTTTCTTCAGGGGTCAGCCTAGTGTGTCCAACCTGCATGGGTTCGATCTCCGTTTCTCCAATATGTGTAGCCTGAACAGGCAAAGGGAGAGGCTGGATCTTAGGCTTCGGTCTGGATAACTGTTCTGTAGGAGCAGAAACAACAGTCACATTATTTGAGGCGGGGGCATAGGAAGACAACCCCTGATTCCTGTATTTGAGGCTGTTTCTAGCTCGGATCCGGTTATCCAGCTTAATTGTCAAATGGATAAGTTCCTTGAGAGTAGCAGGTTCATCGAGGGTAGCCAGTTCATCCTTTATATTTTCATTTAATGCCTCAAAATAGGCGCCCTTTAGAGCACTTTGGTTCCATCCGGAAGCTGCAGCCTTAACCCGGAAGTTAATAGAGAACTCCGCCACTGAAGAATTCCCCTGTTTGAGATGAAAAAGAGCACGAGAGTCAAGGGTTTGATCGGTCTCCTGGTTGAAAACTTGAGAAAACTCAAAGATAAAGTCCGAGTAACGACAATTTAGGCTTTCATCAGAGGCAAACCTGGCTTGAGCCCATGCCAGGGCTCTTCCTGTCAATTGAGATAAAATGAAAGTTATTTTCTTGTAGTCCGTGGGAAAACTGCCAGGAGAGTTCTGAAAAATTAGACGGCATTGAAATAAAAATCCCTTGCAGTCTTTTACATTACCGGAGAATTTCTCAGGTAGACTTGGACGGAACTCGGATGACGTCACTGCCGGTGACCTCGGAGGTGGAACTGGACCCGGAAATGGTTGAGCTGCTGGCGTGGCGTTAGCACTGTTCATATAGTTAGCGTAACTCTGGAGCATATGATTATGAGTATCAACCAAACGATACAACTCACGGAGGGTTTGAGTTTGTCCCTGGATTTGGGCATATTGCTCCTCCAAACGACGGCGGAGGTGATCTGCTGGGCCTTGTGTTTGGCCGCAGTGTTCTGTCATGATGGGTTTACTGAGAGGCCCAAGATGCAGAACACAACAGACTCAGGGGAAAAGTTAACAAGTTTATTGTTACACAAGCACGTAGTAAATGTACAGTTTGCTGGTTCAGGCCTGGGGACTGGTTCACTGGAGTCTGTGAGGGAGACAGTTCAGTTAGCGTTGGCTTGGTTGGAATTGATCTTGAGAGATTCTGGTTTGTACCTTGAGATGCGTAGAAGAGACTTTGGGAGAGGAACTGTTGGGTCCGGAGATGGTTTGGTTCAGCAGAGTCCGATAACTGTTTCAGCGTCTTACTTCTAGTGAGGGTGTTGACCTAGGTTTGAGTTCCCAGCTCTAAATCCAGAGCTGCTTGGAAATCCAGAAGATAGTCTTCAGGTTTGGCTCAGAGGGCAGGCTCGGCAGGTTAAGCTCTTCCAGAGATTCACAGGAGAAAAACAGGTAACCTGGAAGCAGAGACAAAAAGGTTAGAATCCAAACTGGACTCAGAGATAGCAAAGTTCTCAGGAGGTTCTAGGCTTAGGTGCTAACCAAACTGATTAAACACTGCGGCGTCGAGGCAAGGTCTGAAGACAGCTTAAGTACTGTGGTCCTCCTGATGAGATGATCAGTCACAGGTGTGCAGGCAGCTCAGCTCAGGAGGATCCACGGCGAACTCTGCTGGAGGAAGGTGGAACTTCTCCAGCTCCCAACATTTTTTATAAATACATTGTTTAGATTTACTTATATCTTTCTAACCCTTTTATAGAATAGAAAATCTCTTTATTGTTCCACAATGGGCAAATTTACAGCAGCAGAAAGATTATTGAAAATGGTCACACAAATGTGGACCTTAGAAAAATGTATAAGAATAACATAATAGGGAAGAGTTAAAATATAAACAATAAAATACTGTAAAGTGTTTTAACAATATAAAACTGGAGAATTGATAACCAATATGCATCTATGGACATTTTTAACGTAATTTGAAAATAGCAGCAACATCAGAGATGTGCAGAATGACAGCAGCAGGTTATTTAACTGACTAAGGTTTCTATCATTACATTTGATTTTATTTGTTCCTGCTCCCGGTGGTTGGAACCTTTATTCCACTCTGGATTCTTGTGAGTCTTTTTTCACTTTACAGTAAAAAATAAATAAATAAACAAACAGTTTTGAAAACTTTGGTTTTTATTCTTTTCTTGCTTTGTGTGTCAACTTTCACGGTTGCTAAGCAACATTGCCTATGGCGGTAAAACTCTTCCGGTCTTCTTATTTTCACGGACTTCCAAAGATCCAGTCGATGTAGACCGCATCCTTGGAGGACGCAGCCCTTTGAATTCGAAGAGAGCCATTGTTTCTCTGGTTGTTTCTGTCATCAGTCATCAGTGTTTGAGGACCTCTAGTGGAATATGGGCTGCACAGCACAGTAGTACACAGCAGAGTCAGTCACTGCAGCAGAGGAGATCAGCAGGTCCAGGCGTTTGTTTTCTATGTGAATCTGGAGTTTGGAAATCACCTTTGCTAGAACTGATCCTTTATGACCATGAGAGATCAGAAGCTCTGGAGGTTCTCCTGGATACTGACGGTACCAGAAGAAATAATCTCCAGTTTGCAGGTTGGGATAATTATAGGACAGAGTGACAGAGCTGCCCTCTAAGCTGGAGATCTCTGTTTTAACCGCAGTCAGTCCTTCACAGCGGATTCCTGAAGAAAAAGGAGTTTTAGTTTTTGATTCAGAAACATTTCTGACATTTCAGAACAAAAACATTTGAAACATCTAGAATCTGACCTGTTAGCAGTGAGGCGACCAGCAGAGAAAGTCCATAATAGTCCATGATGATCAGAGTTAATGTTTGAACTGTGTTGAATGTGGAAGTTTGTGTCTCTTCTATAGTTCAGTAACAGCTCAGCTCCTCCCTGAAGCTCTCAGCTCCTCTTCCTCCTGCTGAACAGACTCACAGCTTCTCTGCTTCTGATGGAAGAACTTCCTCTTGATCCAGAACATTTTGGTCACATGTTTGTCAGAATGGTTCTGATGTTTTGGTGGTCCAGACATTACTGAGTCTTTAATCTGGTACTGCTGCTGACGTGAAGGTTCCTGAAGATGGAACCATATCATGGCTGCTATGAGCAAATGAAGCAGAACTGGACTCTGGATGGGTTTCTCTCTGTAATTTGGTTCCTAGAGGAAACTGGCTATAGCTTTGGACTTAGACAGGACCATGCTGATTTCACAGCTCTCAGCTCAGAGTTTTTCTCTCCTGATTCGTAAAGAGAAAATGTTGCTGTTTGATCCTCTGCGGAAAAACTGTGTGAGATGATGGACAGGGAAGCAGCACTCCAGGCCCCCGAAAATGAAATAAAGCAGGAGCCTTCAGAGAACAAGAGGGACCGTCTGCTCATGGGATGAGAGTCAGAGTCTGATGATAAAGGATTATCCACACATAAAACTCTAGAACAGTAAAAGGAAGAGAGCCCTGTGGGAACAATGACACCAGCTCCATGTAGAGGGGTTCAAACATCCAGGGGCCTGTAGGAACCTGGGCCATGATGGGGCCAATTGGTAAATACTCTCCAACTTTAATGGAAACGCAGTTTAGTGTCACTAAAGGTGTGTTGATTCCGTCTTCACAGTTTCACTCCTTTTAGTGAGAGAACACAGACCTTTCCAGCTGTGCACTGCTAACTGTCTTTCTAACAGAAATGAGATGTTTAGTTTCTTAGAATTCATTGCAGCCCAAACAGAAAACCTTTTTGAGGAAAACCTCTCATTCATTCATCCATGACTGCTGCTTGTTCTAATGAAGATACATTTGACTGAAACCATTAGATGGATTAATTAATTATTAAAATGATAAGCAACGTGTTTATTAATCAAATGGAATCATGACCCAGAGTGATGGAGAGCAGAGTTCTCAGCAGGAAAAATAACCGGTTTTCAGCAGGATTTAAGACAAAACTCCATCCATCCATCCATCCATCCATCCATCCATCCATCCATCCATCCATCCATCCATCCATCCATCCATCCATCCATCCATCCATCCATCCATCCATCCATCCATCCATCCATCCATCCATCCATCTTCTTCTGCTTATCTGGGTTCGGGTCACTGGGTTAGCAGCTTCAGTAGGGAGGCTGGGATGTCCCTCTCTCCAGCCACTTGGGCCAGGTCCTCTGGGGGAATCCCAAGGTGCTCCCAGGCCGGCCAAGAAAGCTGATATTCATTCCAACTGCTTTGCCATCCTGGGTACATTAACCCACTGCATGCTGATGGCAAGGCAGGAGGGAGCCAGCAGAAGACCACATGATCTGCAGAAGCAGAGACAAAACCTGCTGGTCCCCTAACCTGAGCCCCTCAAGCCCTTTGCTGCATCTCAAAATCGTGTCTATGAAATAATGACAGAGGAAAGCCCATGCACTGCCAATAGGTTCAACTTATTGGCAGGCAGTTCGGGAAAAGCAATTAACCAGGTTGCTATAGAATAAGCATGAAATGTATAATAGTGAACATTAAATCTGTCTTCAAAATTGTACATATTTGACTTCAGAGTCTTTAATTATAATTATATATTTTTCGTAACATGACTAACTTTTACAGAAAATAACTTTACAAGCGCCATCTGGAGGATGTGTTGAATTATTTCAGGTTCTTGTACAGAGTTCTGGTGTTTCCTGTCACTGTGGGCCTCAGAGCACAGTAGTACACAGCAGAGTCTGACAGACGGAGATCCTGGATCGTCAGATTAAAAGATTTCTTGTCACCGTTGATGTCAGCTTCAAATCTCTCCTTGTTAAACTCTGGAGCTTTTTCTTTTGTTGATGCAATTTGTTTCAGCATGAACTTTGGGAAGCTGTTTTCTTCTTGTTTATACCAGAATAATCTTTGAGTACCACTGGTTTCAAAAATACATCCCAGTGTCACAGATTCTCCTTCAGCAGCAGCAACATGTCCTTCTGTCTGCGTCACTGAGTCTCCTTTACACTCTGAGGAAGAACAGAACATGCAGAGGAAGAGATGAATCAATAAAGATGATTGATTAAATGAAACAAAATAAAGATTTCTATTCAGTGTAAAGTAGGTATAATTTTTCATTGATCATTGTTCAAGTGTTTGAAGAGGAAACATGTCGAGCTTTCTATCTTACCAAAGAAAAGAGCAGCTAGAATAATCCACAGCCAATGTTCCATCTGTCCAACAAGGTTTAAATCAGCAGGAGAAACTAGCTGATGTTCAACATTCAGTCTGACTATTGTTCTCTTCACAGCAACACTTATTATTGACACAATGCTGGAACACAGAGCACAAGGAGAGCTCCGCCCACTGGATGATGGCGCCCTCTGGTGGAGATAGAAGGTGTCAATGAACAATAGAGCAAAAGGCTTCCAGCAGCTTGTTAGTGGATCAAACACATTTTTCAAAGTCCTTCATTCTTCCTGCTTTCAGCTCCATTTTAGAGTGATGACAAACAGAGGAAACGTGTCACAGAGATGCAGTGACATCATCTTCCTCACAACATCTGTTCTGTCTGCTTTGGTTCTTGAATTCCTCTGACAGTGGGGGTAGTCATGTTGTTCTTTTATTAACAGGTATGTATCACACAGAGCTACCGCTTCTGTCTCTCATACACTCAACTTAATACCGACTGCCCGTGAGGGACCGGAAACCCGCTCTATATTCAATTGCTTTTCAAAATAAAAGGCGTCACATAGCATTACACCACATCTCCTTTGCAGTCTACCCTTTGTCCCAGCAGGTCTTAAAGGTTTATTCTGTCATTTTAGTGGAAGACCTCTTCTTTCCCTGATTCACACATGAATATTAAAAAGAACACTTTCCTAAACTATTTGTGTTTTTTGTTTTTTTTCTGTAACAAATACTTAGTTTGAACACCCGGTTTCTACTAGAGTATCTTAAAGCAGATCAATTACAGCAGTCACATTTTAGGAAACAGATTACAATCACAATTTGCATTTTTTTCCCCTTTTTTTTAAAGTGAGATTTTTTGAAAGTCTCATAGGGTGACCAGTCTTTTTGGCGGTCTGACCTCTCTCCAGGCCCTGGTCCGCATAGTCTGCATAGTCCTTGGTGTTAGGTGCTGATGTTGCAGGTGTGGCCTCTGGCTCTTCTCCCACCTGTGGCTCGGCATCGGCCACCCACTTTTTGGTCTGCAATGGCACCAAATGATACCGGTTTCTCCTCAGAATGCCTCTGGGCACCTGAACAATGTAGGATGGAGGAGTGCTGTGTTGTGATCACTGTTCCCTGGACTTAAGCATCAGTGACCCATACATCCTCTCCAGGTAAGATTGGGCACAGGATCCTTGCCCTGTGCCGCTCATCAAAGTATCTAGCATTGTTCCTCCTCTTCTCCTCTTCTTTGGCCCCCAACACATTAGAGTCTGGCAAAACAGGGTTCAGCAGGGTTGGAAGAGTGAGGACAGTAGTACAGAGGCGGCGTCCCATCAACAGCTCATCTGGGCTATATCCGTTCTGCAGGGCGGTTGCTCTGTAGGCCACTAAGGCGAGGTATGGGTCTGACACTTTCGTTAACAGGCTTTTCACAGTTTGTACAGCTCGTTTGGCCTCCCCATTACACTCCCCATTAGCTCACTTAGCTGAT